TAATTAATTAATTGATTCATTAATTACACCACGTGCAATTTTGAGATTCGTTATGTTATGTCGTCATGTCGCTAGTGAGAACTAGACCTTAGAGTCGTGGAGCCCCTTCAGAGTAAAGCCATATCAAACGTGTTCTAGCAATAAAAACAAACTGTTGAAGACTTAATTTGTTTTTCAGATGTCTCGCGAAGATAGGGAATAACGCTTAGAATCTACAGTTGTAGTTATTATTTTGCAAAGCAACCTGCGAAAAAGGAACAAAGAGGAGTTTTTTGTATATATGTTAAGGAATAACTCGCTCCGGTCTTCTCAAGCAGCATATGCTAAAATAAATTTCCCATTGAACACCCAAACCATTCCGGAAACGAATCACACTTTCCTTTTGAAATAGCCGCTTGTTGGAATTAAAATTTTGGATCATTAAACTACTTGCTTGGGACCTTGAATACTTGCTTACGAAAGTTATAATACGGCTTGTTTAATCATATTTTCAGGCGATGTTTCAAAGGCTGACAACTCAAGTTCCAAAGAGGACCGCCATTGGCTCTCGCCTGGTGTAATCGTTGGTATTGTTATCGGATCACTTGTTGTTGTTATTGTAGCCGCCTTCATAGTAAGATATCTAAACAACAGAGCACAAGTGCATGCAGATCACCCTCCTGCTAATCCAGAGTTTGGTCGTCTACGTCCACTGCCTAGGTAACAACAAAGAATAAGAAGTTATTAGGAGGCAGAGATGCATTATCCTGACGTGAGAGAACTATTGGACTGGCCAACACGTATTGTTCCACATGGATTTAGTACGAAATATACAGGAATATTGAACATTAATTTTATTTTCCTAATCCAGTATCAAAAGTGAAGCTGGTAATCGCAAACTAGGAAACTTGCTTGTTACCTTCAATAAACCTTTCAGTGCACGTGTTCTCACTTGCAATACGGAAGCTGCTGCTGACAGAGGCCTAGAGATCTCATTACTTTAGTTAACTGGTTATACGTTTTTCATTATTTACTTGGACATGGTTGAAAGGTGACTTATTAACAACGACCTCCTTATTAAAAAGAATAGCGGTCCTAAGTATATGTTGGACTTTTTTAGTGTCAGGGAAACGCCC